GAGATCCAAGCGAGTCTGTCTCAAAGCAGAATGGCTGGCACATGCAAGCTCTCCTTTATTCTCTTTAGACCTTCAAGAAGCTCCACTGAAACCACAGTCAGACAATCTTTTGTTCACGTGTCTCAGACACTTGGTTCAGTCACCTGTTCCCGTGGTGGCAAGGTTTGAACTGGAAGGCATCCAGACCAAACTCCGTTGGTAAGACACAAAACAAAAGAGAAGCTGGGCGAGGAAAGACAAAGGAGAAGTTGCCTCCACCCATTCACTCTGGGTCAGCATGATTTTAGCTAACTTGGTACACATCATCATGCCAGGAAGCAGGTGACAGTATCTCCAGTTTTAAGGGGTGAGAATAAGGTTCAGAGTGACGAAGCTAGATCTTGAACTAGATCTGTGCCTCTTCTGTGGTGCTGGGTCTGTCCTGGCTAAGCCAGTGCATGTCCCTGTCTGGGCCCAAAAATGCAGATGCCATTGTGTGGGCCCTGGATAATTATTTATTCATAGTTCTTTAAAAATTATCATGACCACTGCTGAACACAATGGTACACTCCTGTAATCCCAGTTACTCAGGAAGCTCAGACAGGAGGACCAAAAGTCTGATGCCAGCCCAGAAAATTGAGTGAGACCCTGTCTCAAAAATGAAAACGGCTAGGATATAGCTCAGTGGCAGAGCTCCCCTGGGTTAAATCCCAGTGCCACAAATAAAAGAAAATAAAGGTCAGAAAGCGACCAAAAGCAGGCAGGAACTAGAGGTGAGTCCCCATCTGGAAGAAAGGCACCGTGCTGGACAAACTTCCTGTACTTTGTTTTTCACCACTTCGAGCCAGAGTTTGAGTCTTAGTCTACACAATACAGAACATGTAAGCCTCCAGTGGAAAGTCTCTAGTCCTGCTGGCTTGAAGAGCCAGAGCAGAGGGTCTGGAGCAAGAATGGCCTCTTGGGAACAAAGGGGGAACAACAGAAGAGAGCCAGAGAGGGATTCCCAAATTCTGCTATATAAACCCTGCTCAAGTCTCTGGCCACCAAACTCTGTACAGAGGGCTAAAAACAACATTTTTAAAAGCTAAAAATTCAGTCTCTTAGTTACACAGACCACATTTCAAGTGCTCAGGAGTCACTACATATTGAATAGAACAGATACAAGATATTTCCATTATGCACTAAGTTGCAATGGACAGCATTGGCTTGGTTCAACCCAATTAAAACAACCAACTCAGTGCCCTCCCAAAAAAGGGCCAACTCTGTACTGCTCATAACAGATCTGCTTTAAATGTAGAAAGACAAGGACAAATTAAGTGACTTGGAAAAGATAGATACAAATGTCAAGCAAGAGGAAGCCATGGTGACTGAATTAATGTCAGATAAAGTAGACTTCGAGACAAAGGGGTATTACCAGTAATGAAAAGAGACACTTCCTAATGATAAAAAAAAAAAAAAAAATCACTACATCAGGAAGGCCAAATAATCATAAAGACATATAACCTAATTACAGCTTTGAAGTACATGAAAGAAACATCAACAGTTAAGGGAGGAGTAGACACACAATTATACCTGATAATTTTAAACTCTCACCAATTGATATAACTAGAACTATAAAGACAAGCAGAAGATCTGAAAAACACGATTATCCTGACTTACCATGATACTATAACTGTAGAATATACATTCTTTTCAAGTACATATGGTACTAATGTAGCTGGACCACAAAACAAGCCTCAATAAATTTAGAAAGACTAGACACATGCTGAATATGATTCTCTGACCACATTGGAAATAAGTTAGAAATAATTTGCCTTTTAAAAAAAAATACAAATATTTGGAAATTAAGCAACACATGTAAATATTTTATGGGCCAAAGAAGAAAACAAAATATTTTTAACACAACATGAAAATAAAACATTCCAATAATTTCAGGATGCAGATAGCACTGAACTAATAGAGCAACTTAGAGCTTTAAAATGCCAACATTAGCAAAGAAGAAGGATCTAAGATCAGTGATATAAACATCTACTACAAGAAGCTTAAAAAGAAGAAAAAAACAATAAGAATAATAAAAATAATAGAGTAGAAGCTCCAAGTGGAATTTATCCCAGAAATGTAATACTTTTCTTCTTAAAAGTTAATGCTTTCTAATGTTCATGCTTAACAGTAGAAAATAAATTGATGAAATTCAACATTTATTAATAGAATAAAAGAGAAAAGTATTGCAATACATGAGAGACAGCATGAAACAAAATTAAGTACTCATCCATGTTTCATTTAAAAACCAGAATGAAAATAAAAGAAAACTTCTTCAACCAGATAAAGGGTATCCATGAAAAACCTATAGCTAACACCATATATAATGATGAGAAACGGAAAGCCTTCTCCTAAGATCTTCAGTAAAGTACCTACTTCCACCTGTTCTACTCAGTAATAAACTAAGGTACTAGCCATTGTAATAAGACAAGAAAAAAAGATGGAGAAGGAAGAACCAAAGCTCAGATGTCATGATTATTTATATAAAAATTCCTAAAGGAATCAGTAAAACAATCATTATAATTAATAATCAAATTAACAAGTTTGGAGGAAAAAAGTAATTCACAAAAAGTCATCTTTATTTTTATATACCATGTCAAAAGCAAATGATTAAAAAACATTTTGAAATTCCATTTACAATGGCATCAAAAGAACATGACTTTACAAAATGATATGAACATGGCTTTACAAAATGACTTTATAAAAGTTATGCAAGATCTCTATAAAAATTTTCTAGAAAATCAAAATAAATAGAGGGATATACATTACTCATGAACCATTCAAGATATCAGTTCTCCCAAAAATAGTTCAACATAATCCTAATGAAGATCACACAAGGCTTTTTCTGATGAAATTTAATAAGCTGATTCTAACATTTTTTAATGGAAAAAATTATTAAAATAAATCTTGAAAATGAAGAATGAAGTTGGAAGACTCACACTTCTTCAATTCAAGATCTCCTACACAGCTACAAAATAGAACAGTAATCTGCATACTGTGGTATTAGCATGGGAGTAGAGAAATAAGATAACAAAATACAGATTCCTGAAATAAATTCATTCCTATTGTCTTTTCAACAAATGACCCTGGAATAATTGGATATCCATGTGGAGAAAATGAATAACTCTGACCTCACACTATACAGAAATAAACTTAAATGGATCAGGGACCCAAATCTAAAAGCTGGGGGAAAGGAGACAAAACTCTGCACTCTTGAGGGAGGGTGTGTGTGTGTGTGAGTGTGTGTGTGTGTGTTGTATTTGGTTTTTGTTGATAGTCCTTTTAAAAAATTTATTTATTTTTATGCAGTGCTGAGAATGGAACCCAATGCCTCTCACATGCCAGGCAAGCACTCTACCACTGGGCCACAACCCTGGCTCAATGATTTCTTAATATACAGAAATTGAAGCTTCAAGATTGATACATTGGACTAAACAATGTACCAAAATTAAAACATCTGTCAGAAAACATTTAAGAACATAAATAGGCAAGCCAGAGGTAGAAAATAGTTGCAAAATGCATGTCTAAGAAAGAACTGATATCCTGGATATATAAAGACACTCTATAACTCAATAATAGAGAAAACATTGTTCAGTGGGCAGAAAATTGACAAAGATATATAAATGTCCAACCAAAGATGCAATTTTTTTTTACTCCTAGAACTTTACCCAAGAGAGATGAAAACACATATCATTATTTATGATGACCAAAATTTTCCAACATCCTGGTTTCTATCAATAGAAGAGTGAATAAAACTCTGTTACATCCAAACAATAAAAAAACTAGAGAAAAATTACTAAGATATATAACATGAATAAGTCTCAAAAATCTCTCAGGAGTAAAATTGCTGGATCATAGGGTATCATCATGTATTTTAGTTTTGTAAGAAACTACCTGACATTTTCTCAAAGTAACTATCATAACTGACAATGTAGAACAGTTCCAGAAGCTTCCATATCCTTGATTTACATAAAAGACTTGACTATATGATTCTGTCTAGTTCCAAAGCAGGCAAAACCAAGTTCTATAAAAGCTGAAATAATCCATGGTAGGAGTATTGAGAGCAGTGGTTTCCTCTGAAGGAATGAGGGTGGGGATTTACTGGAAAGGGACTTAGGGCCTGTTGGTGATGGTGGTTGATAGATTGGATAGATCAGTGTTTGGCTTCCAAAGGTGTACACATTTGTGAGAACTCACCTGATGGTACCCTTAAGATTTGTCCATTTCATTATATGTAAAATTTACTGCAAAATTAAAAAAAAAAATCTGTCAATGTTAAACTCTAGGTAATGGCAGAAGTACTGGGAATGCAGGCAGAAATGTATCCATGTCCACCACTTTTTGAAATGCATCCCAACTGCGTTGATGATGGAGAGAGGGACAGAAAAAATACATAATAAAGTATAATAAATGTTAATTGTAGAATCTAGGTTGTGGGTATCGCTGTAGAATTGGCTGAACTTTTGGAAATGTTTTGAGTTTTTTATAATAAAATGGGGGTGGGGAAGGATCGTTGTGGTCTAATCCTGCAGTATACACATGTCCCTGTTCTATTTCCCCCTTAAGCTCCTATCCCAATGGGCTAAAGAGAGGCATTGGGGAGTCAATAACGGAGCCAAGGAACGCATTGGGGCTTCTAATGAACTCGCTGGAGCTATTTATTCGATTGGTTTTACTAAACAGGCCTGGAAGCCCTTCTCTCTGTGTTCTTAGTTGAGAATACTGGTAGGTGGATCCCCTGGGAGCACACGCTGGGAATACGGAAAAATTCGACTCAGCTCGCAGGTGCCCACGTATCCACTCCTTCTTGGATCCATATTCAGTCCCACGCGCCCGGGGCGGGTGACTCTGGAGGGGCGGTGTGTGGCTGGGTTCACGCGTGGGGGCGAGATGTGTCGGAAGAGGACCGAGCGCCCTCTCCTGGCCCCGGAGGGACCCACGCAGGCCGCCTAAGCACCCGACCCGCCTCCCCAGCACTGGCTCCCGGGATCTGCGCACCGGGTGGGAGCGCTGCAGCCCTGAGGTTGGCGGAGACCAGCCCAAGAGGCGGCCCTCGCGGCCAGCAGGCGGGCGACAGGGTGGAGTCGCTTCGGCTGGCAGCCGCGCGGCTCCACCTGTTGCGGTGTCGGAGCACGCCCGCTAGGAAAGGCCGAGCTGCACTCGGCAGGGCAGGGCCGAGGAGGAAACCCCGGGACAATCCTGACAGAGCGGTACAGAGGGAGGTGAGACTGAGCGCAGCCGCGGCGCCCACACCTGCTACGAGGGGAGGTGCCTGGGAGGGCGCCCCGCGGTCTGCTGGCGAGCCTTGCTGTGGATCTGCATGGAGTAGCGCGAGCACCTGCGCGAAGCCCCTGCCTCCCTCCCCCAAGAACTACGAGCTGAGACAGCCAAGACCGGGTGGGAGAAAGGGAACTCTTTGGGATCTCCTGGCCGCTGTCCTTGAGGGGCCGCCAGCTCTCTGGAGAGCTGGCCTGGCCAAGCCAACAGGTGCGTGCAGAGAACACCCCCCGCGCAGGACCCAGAGGCCAAGGACACGCTGGCTGGGGAGATGCTCCTAACTTCCTTATTCCTCCCTTTCTGGTCTCTCTCCAGCCGATCCACCTGCTGGATGCCACGCTGCGTGGGGGTCGGGCGGGAGGTTCAAGCCTGCAGATGCCACTCTGCACAGTCCCTCAGTTCGTGCGCCTGCCCTGGACGGGTATCCAGCTTCTAAGCCCAGGCAGTCGGGTCGGTGACTCGAGGGGCAAGAGGCTTGGCGCGACAGGGCGACTAGGACGCACCACTGCGGATCCGACTGGGTGGGCAACTCCAAAGCCAGTAGACACCCCACCACCCGCTTCGTAGGCATCGGCGGCTTAAGAAGTGAGGTCGGAGGGACAAAGACCCGAGGGCTCCGCTGACCTACCTACCTCTCTGGACTCCGACCTCCGATTCCGGGGAAGTTCAAGTCCTCTCCAGTTTGCCGTGAAGACGCGCCACGCCCCCTCCCCAGTCTGGGCCCAGCGGGGACCCCGAGGTGAAACCCCTCGCCCGCGTCATCGTGCCAAGCCTCAAAGGACTCTGCGCTCGGACTCTCGAGTCGTCAGTGTTAAGGAGAACTCCAAGGCCGGCAGGAAACGGCGGCGACAAAGCGGATTCGAAACCAGGACGTGGGAGCTGGTGCCGCAGAAGCGGCGGAGGCGCTGTGGGAGCGCCCGGCGGTCATGGGTGAGCCAACCGCGGGGCGTCCGGGAGCGGGCTGAGTGCCCGCCGAGCCGCGACCTCCCCGGGGTGCGGACCAGAGCCCGCCTGCGCCCAGGGCGGTCTGGCACGGGGCTGTCCCGGGGGCCCGGCCATGGCCGGCCGGGGTTGCAGCTGTGGTCCCGGCCACTTGAATGAGGACAACGCGCGCTTCCTGCTGCTCGCCGCGCTCATCCTGCTCTACCTCTTGGGGGGCGCCGCCGTCTTCTCCGCGCTGGAGCTGGCGCACGAGCGTCAAGCCAAGCAGCGCTGGGAAGAGCGCCTGGCCAACTTCAGCCGCGGCCACAACCTCAGCCGCGAAGAGCTGCGCGGCTTCCTCCGCCACTACGAGGAAGCCACCAGGGCCGGCATCCGCATGGACAACGTCCGTCCGCGCTGGGACTTCACCGGCGCCTTCTACTTCGTGGGCACCGTTGTGTCCACCATAGGTAAGTGAGCCGGGGGCCTCTAGGGGTCCCCACGGGTCCCCACTCCCTCCTACCCCCGCTGAGCAGGACTAAGCCTTTCAGCCTTCCATTCATCTCGGGGCGCCCCGCCCGCTCCACCAGGTGAGCTGTTGCCTGATCCACAAGTGATGGTGCGGAGCCGCCTCGACTCTTATTAGAAATTCAGTTTGTCCCCTCCCCAGACCTCCTGAGTCAAAACCGCATGTTAATCTGCCCCAGGGGATTTGAATGATCCTTAAATTGGAGAAGCTCTGCTGCAGGAGATTTTCTGATCTAGTTAAGGAGGCAGGACTTGAGTTCCTGGAACTTTGAGGAGAAAGCTTTCAAATAGAGACAGGAACCTATGAACATGTACTGAGTAAGGACTTCACAAGGCACTGGTCAGAGGAGATGCCCGAATTTAAGAAGACTCTGGCCATGACTTCAAATTTACAAAGAGAAACCCAGATAGAATTCCAGATTGGATGTAAGGGACAGAGGTTTGATAAATGTTCAAAGGATAGAGGGTGTTCAGGGAGGGACGGAAATAAGTGACCCTTGGGCTGAACCAGTAGGTGTTTGGCATGATTTGGGTTTGCATTGTGGAGCAGACGGGAATTGTATTCAGGGGTTCCATGAGCTGGTGGCTCTGGGGTAGTGGAAGGAAGGTGGGAAGGTCTGCTGGCTAATGGGTGGAGAAGGAGGTCTTTTCTGCCACCCTGGGCACTAGAACTTTTCTGGAGGCAGTTGGGAGCCATGGAGAATCTTGAGCAAGGGTGTGACATGGCTACTTTCAGCTGTGCAGTTACACCCCTCCCTCAGGAAGCAATGAGGGGGAGGTCTTTGTACCACCCTCCTAAAAATGCATAATCCAGCAGGTTGAGGGAGGTGCTGTGGAAATTCTGAGAAGAGGGTTGGAGCAGGGAAAGAGTTTTGAAAGACTAGATAGAGAGAAAGGAAGTGGCTTGCAGCTGCCAGAACACCAGGACAGCAAAAGGGCTCATGCTGGCAGCAGCACAGGGTGTGCACACTTTGTGATCTGCAGCTAGGGTCCCTTGCTCTCTAAAGGGCCTGTCGGTGAAGCAGGTGAGAAGGTGAACCTCCTTGAGCCTCCCACACAGCCTCATGGCAGTAGACATTCTGCCAGGGGTACATTCTGCACAGAGTACAGAACAGATCAGCCTTGGTCCTGATTAGTCAAGAAAGACTTCCCAAGGTCAGTCCTGGAACCCCGAGTTTCAGCGACTGAGTGGAAGGCAAGGCAGAGGGGATCAGCATGACTGGGAACACACAGGCCATATCTGAAGAGCTTTGTGCTAAAGAAACCAGATCATGACCCCCTTCCCATCCTGGTGGCCCTGCCTATTAGCAGCCCTGACAGCACCATGGTAACTGGGTGTCTGGCAGGAAAACTCTCAGGGCATTGTCCATGTGACTAGAAGCCTAGGGCCCTGCAGGGGGTGGCCCCGGGGAGTATGTCCTTCCCCAGCCTGTATTCTCTGCTGGACTTTCTTAGCAGTGTTCTATGAGTCCCTCATGAAGTCACATCCCATGTCTCTGAAAACCAGTTTCAGAATTTCTACATATGGGACACTTGGCAGTGAACAGACTGATTTGGAGGTGTCACTTTGAAACTTACCTTGAATCTGTGGTGTTTGCATAGCAAGTTCAGGATTTCAGTTAGATTGAATGATATTTGGGGTGGCTTTGGTGTGAGATTAGGGGGCTGAATCCTCCCCACCATCATAAACCGTATGTTGGTGCTTCCCATGGACATGGAGGTAGGAGGAGCGTGCCTGTGCATGGGCTAGTGAACCTGGATACCATAGGCACAGGGAAGGCCATGGGCAGGTGGACATGTAGGAACGTAGGCTTTGAGCTGAAAATATGATAAAGTAGCTGGTGAAGCAGGATGAGACCTGCACACCGAACCTGCATCGGAGCCTCTGTAGCTTGGGAAAGTTCCTTAACCCTTCTGAGTCATGCGCCTCTCATCAAAGGTGTCTAGGAAGTGCCCACCTTAGAATCTCGAACTATGTAACTGTTGGGTGAATCAGTCCTGCCTCCTTCTCTCCTTGTAAGTCTGCAATGAGTCTCGGATGAGAACAATGAACTCCTGTAAGGAAACTTAAAAAATACAAAGCATGCTGAGTACAGGGGTGCACTCCTATAATCTCAGCTACTCAGGAGGCTGAGGCAGGAGGATCATGAGTTTGAGGTCAGCCTCAGTAATTTAGCAAGACCCTGTTTCAAAATTAAAAAGAGCTGAGGTTGTAGCTCAGCAGTAGAGTGCTTGCCTGGCACGCCTAAGGGTTCAATGCCTACGATTGAAAAAAAAAAAAAAGTTCAAAGTGTTACATGGGTGGATTTATTTTACTTTCTTATTTTTATAATATTTCTTTTAAAATTATTTTATTTATTGATATTAGAATAACAGCTGTTCTTTATTAATCCAGTGAGAAGATACTTGTATACCCATGTTCACAATGGCATTATTCACAATAGCCAAAAGGTAGAAACAACCCAAATGTTCATCCATAGATGTAGGATAAATGAAATGTGGTGTAAACATTACAGTGGAATGTATTCAGCCATAAAAAGTTAAATTTCTGTACAGTATAGATGGACCCTGAAAACAATTCTACTTGATGAAATAAGCCAGACATAGAAGGACACACATTGTCTGATTCCACTTACGTGAGATGCCTGGAATAGGAAAATTCATAAGAGACAGTAAAATAGAGGTTGCCAGAGGCAGAGAGAAGGCGAGAGGGAGCATTGTTATTTAATAGGTAGATGAAACAGTTTTAGGTATAGATGGTGATGATGCTCGTGCAACATTGTGAACGTGTTTAATGCTTTCAAATTGTGCACTTGCGTATGCATAAAATGATAAATCTGTATCATTTTTCACAATAAAAAAGGAAACATGATGGAGGAGTGTTGATGGTAAAGGGTCAGTGACTGGCCTTGAAACAAGAATCAATTTCAAGTTCTCAAAGACATAGCTTAGCAGTATAACCTGTAAATGGTCTTCTGCAAATAGCTTTTTCCTGAAAGAGGCTTTACCTGGGCTTGTGTTTCTGTGTTTACTTACTTGTTTATAACTGAGCATCTGGACATAAAGGATTTGAGGTACTTTGCATATGAGATAGTCAGCAGGCACAAATTATGGTGCAGTAGCCAGCCACCCCCCAAATCTTGACAGATAGCGAAGTTTACTTTTGACCGGCACACAGTCCCCTTTGGACTCAGGTGGCTCTCTAGGGCCGTTGTCTCCTGCGTGGTCTCAGTGCTCCAGCTGCTTTTCTTTTGTGGCTTCTCTTCATCGCCACCTGGTCCCAGGACTGACTGGGAAGGGAAATGAAGGCTCAAGAATTGAGCACCACCAATGACGTGGCCACCACAAGTCATCTCTCCTCTTGTCTCCTTGGTCAGAGCAAGTCACATGGCCACACCAAACTTAAAGAGTCAAGCAGTGGGAGAGATCTGATATCGGTGGACAGAATGGATGATGCCTCCCATGCATCCCTACACACTGTTCTAGAAAGGATGCCAATAGGCGTAAAACTCCAAGGAGGTGAGAAAAGGTGAGCGGGATGGGAAAATTAGCCCCATTTGCTGATACACAGGGACATATGGCAAAAGGACCTGTATCATTGCCAAACTGAACCCCAAATTTGGCTCTGAGTTTTTCCATTGTCAGAGAGGCAACAATGACCATTAAATGAGTCCCTTATCCAAGCTGGCTTCTTCAGTCTGGAATAAAAATTCCTCCTGCATCTTGTCGTAAAGGGGCAAGATAATGTGGTGAGAGAGTTCCTCCACAGCTTAGCCAGAAGTATGAAAGAGAACTGTGTGCCGTACGTGGTGTGGCATCCCTCAGTACAAGTGCAATTAAACAAGAGCCCCTCTGCCAAAGCCCAAAGCTGCACAGAGCAAGTAGGCAGCTCTGGATGATCCCATTCAAGGCCATTTGAGTCCTCTCTGGTGGTCCCCAAGCTTTGAGTCTGGAAGAACCCACCTGGGAGATCAGGTTAAGACACAGGTGCATGAGGCCTCCTTTTTCAGAGATGCTGGTGTGGTAGATGTGCACTTTCAGAAACTTCTTTGAAGGTGATTCTGTTGGGCAGTAGATTGAGTAAGGACACCTGGAGGGACCCCACATCTTAAGACATATATGATAGGAGTGGGCATCGACTTGAAAACTGAGACCTTCCTCAAGGATCCTTGCTACTTAGAATGGCCTATTAACCAGATGCCTCAGCATCACCAAGAAGCTTATTAGACAGGGAGTCTCAGTTGGACCCCAGACCATTGGGATCAGAGTCTGCTCTTTAATGAAACAGCTGGCAAGTCCTGGGCACGTTCAAGGCTGGGAAGCCTGGAGTCTGGAGGGCTCTTACCTGTGGTGCTGCTGATGAGGGTAGGCACCCCTGGGACTTCAAACACAGACAAAGCAGGGGCCAGGCTGGTCAGCAGGAGAGATTGCTCATCTGTTGCCTTGATGGAGTTCCTCACCAGCTGGAAGCCAAGCACGCCCAGGGGCAATCAATCAAGCGTCATCCAGATGTGGGGATGTGCTGGGCTTGGGCTCGGGCCACACAGCTTGTGAGGTCTGAGACACAGAGAGGCTTGGCCCTTCTAGTGGAGACCACTCAAGATGTGTGATTCTAATTTTCAACAAGAGTTTTTATTCATTTTAGTTGAACAGAAACAATTCCACTGGTGCCCATTTGGGCCCAGGCAGAGCTCATGGAAGCAGATTCCCGAGGCTCTCGTGGGGTCCCGGAGCTAAGCCGGCAGGCGTGTGGCTTGGCCTGGTTCGTGTGTGGATCGATGGAGTACAAAACTGAATATTGCTTGGGGAATCATTTTTTTCCCCACAAGGGAACAAGGCTGAGAAAAGAGCTTTTTCAAATCAAATGATATGAAATCCAACCAATAAAATATTAGGAATTACTATTTTATAGTATCAAAATGATGTCAACTGACATCAAAGA